TCTGGTGTGAAGAAAAGCAGGTGTTGGGGTCCCATCCCACCTAGAGCCGCGCCAGACTTTAAAAGAGGCCACGAGGGTACAGGCTCCATCAATCTAGTCGCTTATGTGAAATCCTGTTTTACGGCCCCATTTTTTTTGCCAGCTAGGAAACAACGAGCTCTCTACCAAGTAGTGTGTGAACTTTGAAAATAAAAGATTTCGACTTGGGCGAAGGACTTTGAGTCGACATTCTGAAACCTGAGTATTTCGGACTCATTGCCTCTTGGACACTGGGATTCCAGCGTAGCGGGAAAAAAAAAAAAAAAAAAAAAAAAAAAAACCCTTCTGATTCGGGAAAATTTTTTGGGGGTTGTAATCAGAGTATTTTTTTTTTTAAACGTGAATCCCGGTTAGGACAGGTGACTTTATGCCAGTTCCGCATGTCTAGTTCTAGGCTAGATACATTCGTGCTCTTAGAGAGTACAACCCAAACACATATATCATAATGTATGTCCATGGTAGCATTCACTTAGTCATTCTAACATGGTATCAGAGCTAGGTAGGCCCCACGCACTCGCACTTCTGCCCTAGCCACCCATAGAGTGCCCCCCCTAGCCTACTATGGAGCACTCTGCCCCAGCCTGCTCAGCCTGCTGCGCTTGCCCTAGCCCTTCGCGCCGCGCTCACCCTCGCTCGCCGCTCCACGCTGGCCCCTAGCCCGTCGCGCTAGGCCCTAGCCCGCCTTGCTGGCTCAATAAGAGCAACAGAGAGAAGCACATCCAGTTGCGGTACTTCCTTATGTGCAAGCTACAGCAGTGTGGCCAGGCACGTGTAGTACACTTAGCCTCTGGTGTCATCGCCTTAGTAAAGATATCAGCTGTGTTGGCACCAGAGGCTAAGTGTACTACGCGTGCCTCACCGCGCTGCTGTAGCTCGCGCAGGAGGAAGTACCGCAGCTGGATGTGCTTCGCTCTGCCCTCTAGTCGAGGCTCCTAACATAGGAGGATCATGGCCCTGTTGTCAGCGTACAGGACCAGGGCAGACCTAGGCCACTCACCCAAGTCAGTGAGCAAGAACGTCAGCCACTATAGCTCCTGTGCCGCCATGGCACCAGCGTAGATCTCACCCTCACAGCGGAACTGTGCAATAGACGTTGAGATGCTCAGGTCCTCCCAAGGCTACTGTTTTAGCCTTGGTGCAGGCGCCATCTCGTGGAGGCCCACCCGCTCATCATCTGTTGCACAGTCTAGCTGTGAGGCTGAGATCTATGCTGGTGGCATGGCGGCACAGGAGCTCCGCTGGTTGGCGTTCTTGCTCACTGACTTAGGTGAGCAGCCTAGCTCTGCCCCAGTCCTATACACTGACAACAGGGCCATGATCCTTCTGTGTGAGGAGCCTCGAGTAGTGGGCAGAGCGAAGCACATCCAGCCACGGTACTTCCTCCTACGCAAGCTACAGCATCGCAGCCAGGCACGCGTAGTACACCTATGACGCAGGGCAGGGAGCGATGCAGGGAGACCTAACGCAAGACTGTGCTCGGACATGTGACGCTGGCGCGGGAGTGCGTGGTGGACTAGGCTGTGGTGCCACAAAAGGGACGGGTGAGTGAGCGACCGACACGAGAAAGCCACAAGGACCTGAGTAGGCGCGGCCACCTGGGGGGACGCTCCCACTGGAGGGGACGCAATGTCTAGAGTGAACAGGCCGGACACCGGGTCTCGAGGAAATGCGGTGAGAGGGGCACGAGTGGCGGCCTCGGTACAAACTGCGTACCGCTCGTGTCTAGGAAATGTAGTGGTGGCGCCGAGGTCCTAAAGATAGCCGTAACCAACTAGGTTCCTGGAGAAGGAGGGGACGTGCAAGCCTGTAAGGGAGCCTGAGGGAACCATAGGACAAGGAAGGGTGGTGTAGCTACGTATGAATACCGAACCTGAGGAGGGGTCAGCAAGCGCAGCAGCGGCAGATGCGGCAAGCGGTGTAAGCGCAGTGTGGTTGCGAAAGACGCAAGTGGACGCACCAGAGTTTAGCGTGAACGAGAGCGCGACGGTAGCATCTGCATGCAGAGGAGCGAGGGTGGGACCAAGGCAAAACAAGGCAGGTGGTCCTACGCCTGACGCAGCAGGGGGACCTAGGCTACATACTGTGGACACACCTACACTGGGCAATACCCGGTAATAAGGTCCAGTCACACTAGAGTCATCAGCATAGATGACATACATAGCATACGTAATCTGATCCGTATCTAGCTCAAAGACAGGCACACGACGACACACCAGGCTGTACCAGTTGGGGGGGTCAAACGTGGGGCCGAAGCGGAGACGGAAGAGGTCGTAGAGGCAACGGTTGCAGCGGGTGGCGGTGTGACTGGGATGGTCGCAGATGGTGTCGTGGCAGGGGTTGGACTGAAGCTGGTACTGGAAGGTGACCACACTGGAGCCGCCACCCGACACTGAGCTGCGCGGCCCACCACCACGACGACCACCACCAGCGCCGCCAGGCCACCATAGCGGTTGGGGTCCCCACGGCTGCTGCTGCTGCGGCTGAGGCAGCGGCTGGTGCTGCTGCTCTAGAGCATCAGCCCCAGATCCCTCGTCTGCACCACCATCCCCGCCACCACCTCCACCACCTACGCCACCCCCACCACCCCTGCCACCCTTTCCTCTGCCACGCCCCCTCTTGGGAAGGCGGCCCTTACCCTGACGCGGTTGCGCTGAGGCCGCGGCGGCGGTCTCAGCAGCCGGGGTTGTCTCATCGACAGCGGCAGAAATGTCAGAGTAAGTGAACTGGGAGGGAGCACAGCCCTGGAAGATAAGGACTGCCCTAATACCGCTAGACTGAGCGAAAGTGTGCTGGCGGGTCTCTATCGCGGACACGGCGGTGACAAAGGCGGGGTGAGGTCACCTGGGTGCTAACTAAGGAAGTGGTCGCGGGCAGTGGCGGGTAGCGCAAAGTGGCGGCGGGAATGTAGTGAGCTGTGATTAAGTGGTAGCTGCGCGATAGCTAGTCTGAAGTGTGCGACGTTGGGTGGCAAGGTCAGCGACAGTGGGGAAGGACACAAGATCAGGGAATAGAATGGGAAGGATTAGACGGCTGGCAAAGGCGGAGGAGGGAGTGGAATAGCAAGAAATGAGCGCATCTATGTATTCATTTGCATTTGCTACATCGGTAAAGCAGGGACGCTCAGACAAGGAGAGGCCGCGACTAATAGCAAGCTGTGCGACTACGTCGTGCGACTCCGAAACAGTGCGGGCAAGCTCAACAGCGGCAAAGGTCTCACGCTCAACATACATGGAGGCGTTAGGGAGGGCAGCAGGCGCGGTGGGACAGGGGAGCTTACTGTCGATGTGGACGGCCAGGGAATAGCCGTCCGGTCACTGACCGGTCAGCTGACGGCGGAGGTCGACAAGCCACGCCTCAAAATCAACCACCCGACCCTCCGCGTCCAGGCGGAGCACAGAGTCCGCCATCACCACGGCTGCAGCAGCTGACTGCCGCTGGAAGGGGAGGGGAGTGGTGGAGATCGATGGATAGTAGTGAAGAGTGGTGGAGAGCGGTGGAGAGCGGTGGAGAGCGGTGGAGACGGCCGATGGGAGCGCTGGCGCCAAGGGGAAGCCAAGGCAGGCAGGTCGGCCTGGTAGTGCGGCGACGCGGCAACTCGGAGGCTCAGGGGCTCGGCGGCTCGGCGGTGCAGTGGCGCGGCGGCTCGGCGCCTCGGCGGCGCGGCGCAGCTAGGGCCGGCGGCGACCAGGGTCAGCGCGAATAGGGGCCGGCGCGGATTGGGACCGGAGCGGTAGGGGCCGACGAGCAGAGGCCGGCTAGATCTGGGGTCGGCGAGCAGGGGCCAGCGAACAGGGGCCGGCGAGCAGAGGCCGGCGAGCAGGGGCCGGCGTATAGGGGCCGACGCGTGGGCCAACACGCTAGGGCCGGCGAGCAGTGGGCCAACGGGAGAGCGCGGGGCCAGTGGGCGAGAGGCGGCCGGCAGCTACGGGCGGCCAGCGGACGGGCGGCTACGGGCGGCTGGCAGCTAAGGGCGGCCAGCGGCTATGGGCGGCCAACGGCTACGGGCGGTTGGCGGCGACGAGCGGCGGGCGGCTGGCGGCTAGCGACGGGCAGCTAGGAACGAGCGGCTAGAGACGGGCGGCTAGGGCTAGGGCTAGGACTAGGGCGGAAGCGCGGGTGGCCGAGGAGGACCTAACCTAGCGTGATACCATCTCAGAGTAACGGAATGAACTAGAAAGAGACATACAGGATGGTTTTGTGCTGAGGGGTTGTACTCTCTTAGAGTACGCACCTATCTAGCCTACAATAACATATAGACAGACCATATTCCCCCAGATATACGCCCCTAGGGGCGTTTAGGGGAATGGTTTGAAAATAAGGGGGGGCATTTATTCGAATTTAATTTTTACGCCCATGGGCGCTTAAAATTATTTTTACATAATATTTTTTTGAGTATACCACAATGTAGCTCAGAAGAATTGTGTCATAGTGGGCATGCTCCCATAGCGAACATGTTAATAGATCTCACGCAGAAGCCTCTCAAATCCATGCGAGGCACGAAAGATGCCTTGCTGTCCAATGAGACGCCCGAGCAGCGCAGTGCTGTGCTAGCACACCCTGCGCAGGCTTTCATGGGCCATGTGCTTGGTACTTCCGTATTGGATGGGGTATGTGGCACAAGAAAGCTGAATGTAGACGCTGTCAAACCTTCAAACGAAAGGATTGCCAATACACCTTCGAAATCATCGACGAGGAAGACGGGCTGCTTTCTTGAAAGGGGGTACCGTCTTGCATTCATTATTTTTCTTTAACAATCTTGCTGTTTTCTTGCCTGTTCTGAGTTCTCCCTGACTCCATGGCTATTTTTTATACGTGCAGACAATATCAAGAAGCCCCCACCAGAGGAGATCCTTTAGTGGATCTCCAAGGAGTGGAGGGCAATCCCGGCGTCCTTCATTCAGAGGGCATTCAAGACCTGCGGCATCAGCAATTCTCTCGACGGCAGTGAAGACTACTTGACTCTGCAGCATATGCGCAACAAAAAAGAGGCTGAATTGACGTCGACGATGAAGTGGGCGCTGACGGATTCACCGGCGGCAGCAGAGGATGTGGCTGCTGCTGAGGAGGGGGAGGACGCTGAGGAGAAAGTGGTGGTGGAGGAGGAGGAGGAGGAGGAGGAGGAGGAGGAGGAGGAGGAGGAGGAGGAGGAGGAGGAGGAGGAGGAGGAGGAGGAGGAGGAGGAGGAGGAGGAGGAGGAGGAGGAGGAGGAGGAGGAGGAGGAGGAGGAGGTGGAGGAGGAAGATGAGGAGGAGGAGGAGGAGGAGGAGGAGGAGGAGGAGGAGGAGGAGGAGGAGGAGGAGGAGGAGGAGGAGGAGGAGGAGGAGGAAGAGGAGGAGTAGCCTCCTGTACAGGGTTCACGATTGGTTTTATGCTATCCTGATTGCTTAGTGTCGTACTAAAAAAAAAAACTTTTCATTAGTCTTGAACCCAAAAAAGGGCTGTTTCATCAGTATTGGATTGCGAAAGTTAGCTTTTCCAACAGGGTTAACCGAAAAAAAAATGCTGATTTAAGCATTTCGCCTTTAGATTGGACATACTATCCTCCTAACTACAATATCCTATCACATCTTTAGACTATCGCGTCCAATCTAACTACATCATCTACGAATTCAGCAAAACAAGCTACTTTAAGGGCCATGCCCACTAGGATACCACCATACTAGCATACCTCTCGCAGAGGTAGGAGTTCCTGCAAGATGCGCTGAAGGTTATGAATACAGCACGAATGGGAAAAAACAAAGAACACTGCCCAACAAACTCCACGTACCTGACGCAGCAGCAGCGCTAGTCTCGAGTCCTGCACGGCAAGCGCCAGCCGCGCTAATCTCCGGTCCTAGACGACGAGCACCAGCCACACTAGTCTCGGGTACTGCACGGCGAGCAGCAGCCGCGCTAGTCTCGTGTCCTGCACGGCGAGCACCAGCCGCGCTAGTCTCAGGTCCGACGGTGGCAGGGGTGGGGATCCCTACCAGGGGACAACATGATCGAGGAAGGGTGAGGTAAACAGCAGGTGTAACTCTGTCATCGAACGAAGATGGCGTTGCTCAAACAAATTAGACAAACACTTACCAGTAGCAGACTCACCACCTGAACAGCGAAGGGTGGCACTGGTCTCGGGCATGGCAGTGGCGGGAGAGTCCACAGACGTGCCTCGAGATATTAGCCATGGGGCAACACCCGTGTTCCTAGCAGGGTCCTCTGGCGGAGAATCTGGGATGTCGTTCGCACACACCCAGACAGGCGCGGGTAGCGTGAAGATCGGTGGAAGCACGGGTAAAGCAGGCGCAGGAGGGTCGATCGCCTTAGTTGGCATGGCTGTTGTAATGAAGACAGCCGCTGCTGCTGGGGGTGAGGCAGACTTCTGGTGGGGTGCTGAGACATTTGAAATCTCGTTGGAACACCTATTCTGTTCCTCGAAGGCGGCAGTGAGATTAAAAAAACTCTAGCGCGCTACAGGGAGCTGGAGAGGCAGTCGAATATTGCGGAGGCTCGTCAGGAGCTCCCACGTCGCCGTCGATACAGCTTCCCCTAGCCGCCCCTTCCTTGCCGCCCCTTAGCGCCCCGTCGGCCTCGTGCGCCCCACCGGCCTCGTTCGTCCCGTAGACCCGTTAGCGCCCTTCCGGCCCCGTTAGCGCCCCGTCGGCCCCGTGCGCCCCTCTGGCCTGTTAGCGCCCTGCTGGCCCCGTTAGCACCCTCTGGCCCCTTAGCGCCCCGCTGGCCTGCTAGCGTCCTGCCGGCCCCATTCGCGCCCTCTGACCCCCTGCGCTCCGTTGGCCCCGTTAGCGCCTCGTCGGCCCCATGCGCCCCACTGGCCCTGCTCGCCCCGCCGGCCCGTTAGCGCCCCGCCGGCCCGTTAGCGCCCCTGTTGGCCTCGTGCGCCCCTCTGGCCCTGCTCGCCCCGACGGCCCGTTAGCGCCTTGCCGGCCCGTTAGCGCCCTACCGGCCCCGTTCGCGCCCCGTCGGTCTCGTGCGCCCCTCTGGCCTTGCTCGCCCCACCGGTCTGTTAGTGCCCAGCCGGCCCCGTTAGCGCCCTACCGCCCGCGTCAGCGCCCCATCGGCCCTGTGCGCCCCGTCGGCCCCCACCAGCCGGCCGGCCAGCCAGCCGCCCAGCCAGCCGGCTCCAGCCTAGCCGGCCCCGTGCGCTCAGCCAGCTAGCTCCAGCTTAGCCGGCCCCCGCTTCAGCAGCCAGCCGCCGAGCCGTCGAGTCGCAGCGCCGACCCATCGGCTCTGGCTCCCTTCAGCGCCGGCTCCCCAGCCGGCTGTCTCCACCGCTCTCCACCACTCTCCACCGCACTCCACTGCACTACACTGCACTCCACCGCTCTCCACCGCACTCCATTGCTCTTCACCACACTTCACTGCTCTCCATCACACTCCACCGCTCTCCACCACTTCCTCCATCTGTCCTCCTCACTCTGTCAGAGGTCGTCAGCAGCTGCAGCAGTGGCGATGGCGATGGCGGAGTCACAGCTCCGTCTGGACGCAGAGGGTTGGGCGCTCGACTTTGAGGCGTGGCTCGTCGACCTTACAGGTCAGTGCCAGGACGGTCACTCCCTGGCTGTTCATGTCGATGGCATGCTTCCCCGCCCCGTTGCGCCTGTTGCCCTCCCTGATGCCCCCACCACTGCTGAGCGTGAGGCCTTTTCTACTGCTGCGCTTTCTCATGCCGTCTGGGACTCGCGCGACGATGTAGCACAGCTTGTTATCAGCCATGCGCTCCTGCTGTCTGAGCGTCCTCACTTTACCACTGTAGCGAACTCCCAGGCTTTCTTAGATGCTGCCATTGCGCACTATTCCAACCCCGCCACTGCCTCTGCTGGTTGCGTAATCTTTCCAATGCTATTCCCTGATCTTGCTTCATTCCCCACAGTCGCTGACTTTGCCACGCACCTCCGCGCGCTTGAGACAAGCTACCGCGCTGCTAGCACTGAGGCACAGCTCACTGCCTGCCCACCGCCATTCTGCGGTACCCTTTATCTCATCGCCACGCGCCTCCTTGACCGCCTAGCTAGAGCCTGCGACCACTTCCTTAGTCAGCACCCGGGTGAGCTCACTCTTACCGCCTTTGTCACTGCCCTGTCTAAGATAGAGACCCGCCAGCGTGGTATCGCTCAGTCTAGCGGTACTGCGGCGGTGCCTATCCTTCAGGGCTATGCTCCCTCCCAGTGCACTTACTCAGACGTCTCTGCTACTGTTGCTAAGACTACTGCTGCGGCCTCAGCGCAAAAGCGTCCTCGTAAGAGTCGCCGCCCCAAAGGGGGGCGTGGTGGGGGGAAGGGGGGTGGTGGTGGGAAGGGTGGCGGCGGTGAGGACGGGGACGGTGGTTCAGAAAAGGGGACAGGGGCTGGTGCCCCGGAGTAGCCGCAGCAGCAGACGCTGCCTCAGCAGCAGCAGCAGCAGACTCACTGGCAAACGCTGCCGCAGTAGTCGTCACAGCAGCAGCAGACGCCGTGGGGACCCCCGCCGATGTGGTGGACTGGCGGCGCTAGTAGCGGTGGTCGTGGGGAGGGAGGGCGCAGCTCGGTGTTCGGTGGCAGCTCCAGCGCGATCACCTGCCATCGCGTTAATCCAGACCCTGCACCTGGACGTTTGGGGCCCAGCCCCCGTCCCCGGGCCGCGTTGAGAGCGCTACTTCCTGGTGCTTGTCGACGACTACACGCGCTACACCACGGTGTTTCCCCTGGAGCGGAAAGGCCGACATGCCTAACATTCTTATCTCGTAGGTCGTAGCTGCGCGAGTCCGCCGCAGTCTACCAGTGCTCTGTCTCCACTCCGACCGTGGCGGCGAGTTTGCCTCTGGTCGGCTTGGCTGGTTCTGTTGTGCGGGGGGCATCACCCATTCGTACACCCTGCCGGACTCCCCGCAGCAGAATGGGGTCGCTTAGCCATGCATCGGCTTGGTCATTGAGGTGGCTCGTACCTCTATGATCCATGCAGGTGCACCCC